GGTTTTTGCAGCAGAAGGGATGAGCGAGTCTACAGTGTGTCTTTGCTGAACTCTAGTTTTTCTTTCCACAGTGGACATGACCTTCGACGTGGACACAGCCAACAACCATCTCCTCATTTCTGACGACTTGAGGAATGTCTGTTGTGGGCATTCAGAGCAGAATAGGGAAGAGCATGCAGAGAGATTCCAACCTTCATTGTGTGTCCTTGGCTCCCCTCGGTTCACTTCCGGCCGGCACTACTGGGAGGTGGACGTGGGCACAACCAGAGAATGGGATGTGGGAGTTTGCAAAGAATCCGTTAATCGAAAAGCAAAAATCCTACTGTCCTCAGAACTGGGCTTCTGGACTGTGGGTTTGGTTGACAACCAGCTCTACACTGCCAGCACCACACCTTTCACAGGTCTCTGGGTGCGTCCCCGGGTACGCCAAATGGGGATTTTCCTGGACATGGATGTGGGCACCGTGTCCTTTTATAACCTCAGTGATGGGTCCCATATCTTCACATTCACTAAAATTCCCACTGCAGAGCCACTGCGCCCATTTTTCTCTCCTGCAGGTGAAACGGATGATGATCAAGGCTTCCTGAGTATCTGTCCTGTGATCAATCCAGGCATTGTCAGTCCTCCAAATTACCCTGGGCAAGGGGAATAAACCCGGGGACACAGAATCATCCGCAGGAAATCGCTCTGTGCTCATGATCAGAGCTAAGGAGTTTTCTGCATAGTACAAAGATACAGTAAATAAAACTGCATCATTTAATAATTAATTATATTGATTAGGGAAAATTACATTTCAAATATGAAGTATTCTCATGTTCTTTCCTTTGGGACTCTTATTTTTTTTCCAATAAAAGATAAATTTGCAAATGCTTTCTTTGTTTAGTTCTTATAAGGTCAATTCAGTATGTTATTGAAGTTTTAAATAAAATAAAAATTTTAATGTGACCCAACAGACTCATTGGTTGGTAAGTGATAAGGAGAATAGACCTATATAAATGGTAGAAATGCATATGTTTATGTATCCAGTTTTACCTAATATCTGAAAAAACATTTTTACTTAGAGCCCACATTGAACATCCACCATAGTAGACGTATGTGGTCATGAGATAAAACTCATTAATGTTAAAATAATATACACTTTGTTCTTTAATCTCAACAGAATTAAATGAGAAATCAAACAGAAAACTATCTGTAAAATCTCCACATGTATGAAAATTTAAAAAAAAAACCTTCTAAATAAAATAGAAATTGATGGCTGACCAGAGACACCAATAGCCAGAGTGTCTCTGTAAGAAGGACAAGTTTTAGATGAACAAGAAAAAAAAAAAAAGACAAAGATAGAGCAGAAGGTCTGAAGGAAGGATACCTGAACCTACAGGAGACTCCATGGGAAGAGGTTGCTGAGCAGAACTGGAAGGAGAAATGCATTGGCAGAGATTAAGCCCCAAAAGGCTTGGAGAGTCATGAGAAGGTAGGTGTAACGGTTAATTTCACCCTCCATCACATCTTGGATTGTTGGGGGGCTCCTGAGCTGTTGGAGAGACTTTCCACCGACATGAACCCAGAAACTGCTGCAACCAGTAAGCTGGGAGTTTCTTGTGGACAGCCCTCTTCAAACACAGAAGGATCTGGTCCCAAATGTCAATAGTATGAAGGCCGAGAAGCCCTCATCTAGATCCCACACTGCTAAAAGCTAAAAGCCACTCTACAAGGAACTTCTAAATTCTTGAACCTCTCCCCCAAGCCTGAATCTATTTCAGGAGTATATAGTCTAACAGCATGTTTTTTTTTTCCTTTTTGCCAGTGAGCATGCTAATTCCTGAAAGAATAACAATATCTAGAAGTTAAGGAATGAGTGAATAATGACTGCCTGTGTTAGAACTCTAAAGCACTTAGAACAGGCCTGCTCTCGAACAGGCCTGAGGCCTGCTCTAGAGCCCTCAATAGGGTCAGGGCCTGGAGTCTTTACTGAAGGCAAGGGCAGAACCTTCTCTCCCAACCTGACTTTGGCTTCAGAACATCCACTGGGTTCGATGCCCAACTAATGCCTGGAGTTAGTCCACATCCTCTAGCCAATATCCTTTGTGCAATTATAAGAAAGCATCATCTTTGAGAAGACCTCCTATATGCAAGCTTTGAATAGAGCAAGGGTTAACAAAGAAACAGATTTTATGAGTTTAGTGTAGCTTAAGTGTACAATGTTTATAAAAGTCTGCAGTAGCATATAACAACATCCTAGGTCTTCCCATTCAGTCACCTCTCACTGACTCACCCAGAACCACTTCCAGTCCTGCAAGCTGCATACATGGTAAGTGCCCTAGACAGGTGTACCAATTTTTATCTTTTATACCATATGCTTACTGTACCTTTTCTATATTTAGATATACGTATACTTAACCATTGTGTTATAGTTGCCTACAGTATTTAGTAGAGTAACATGCTGTACAGGTTTGTAGCCTCGGAGCAGTTCACTACACCACATAATATAGATGTGTAGTAGGATATACTACCCAAGTCTGTGTAAATATACTGTATGATGTTTGCACAGTGATGAAATCACCTAACAATACACTTCTCAGAACATATCCCTGTCATGTGATGCATGACTGTGTACATAGAATTATATGCCATATAACCTTTTGAGATTGGCTTTTCCACTCAGCATAACCTGTCCTAGTAACTGTTTGTAGCAATAATTCATTCTTTATTGCCAAGTCATGGTCATGGCTTGAAGGCTTGACTGTACCACTTCTTATTTTTCAACCATTCACTTCTTTGCAGACATTTGAGGTGTTTCCAGTTTGGGCTATTGTAAATAAACCTGTTGTGAACATTTGTGTACAGGGTTTTCTCTGGTCATGTTTTCATTTTTTTGGGATAAATGTCAAGGAGTACAATTGCTGGTTGTAGGAGAAGTTTATGCTCAATCTTGTAAGAAATATTTATTTTATTTTAGCGTATTATGGGGGTACAACTGTTAAGGTTACTTATATTGCCCATGCCCCCTCCCCCATCGAGTAAGAGCTTCAAGCATGTCCGTCCCCCAAATGTTGCACATCTTACTCGTTGTGGTTGTATATACCCCTCCCCTTCTCACCCCTCCCACCTTCCCGACACCCGATAAATGTTACTCCTATATGTCCACTTGTTGATCCGTTCGTTAATAGCAATTTGCTGGTGAGTACATGTGGTGCTTGTTTTCCCATTCTTGAGATACTTCACTTAGTAGAATGGGTTCCAGTTGTATCCAGGAATATACAAGAGGTGCTGTACTGTTTTTCAGAGTAGCTCATTGATATTTAACATTCCTCAGAAGTTATTTATGACACAAAAAATATGACCGGTAGCTAGCTGCTATTTTATTCAAGCTTATTGTTGGATATTGTTAGATCACTCAGGATCCTGCATGGGTTGTCAAAGATTGCAGTTGGGACAATAGAAATAGGATTGAGTAACACCTTAGGCTTGCAGCTGAAGATTAGGAAAGTCAAGGTTACAGAAGGGGTTGGTTTCCCTTCCTTTAACAGTCAAGAGTCAGTTTCAGTTATTTGTTTCAAGTATTTGAAAGAACTGGACATGAGTTTGAGTATATAGCTTGAGACAGTGACTGATCAAGGGAGATGTAACTGGAACACTACTGGAGTGGGGAGAATTGAAAAGGAGATGGACATGAGGTTCAGCTGAGGGACTGAGTCTTTAGGGTGGCAGCTGTGGAGGTAAGACAAGTCTTAAGACCTGAGACCTAAATAATCTCCCCAGCTCTTGTTCTTTATAATAAGATTATATATCTTCAGCCCCTAAGAATCCTAACACCTACCCAACAAATGAATAAATGTTCCTCCTCACGTTGGGGACTATCTTAGATACAATAGATACAAAAGCTTAAAACTAGGACACCATAAATATGGTGTCAGAGCTGGAAAAGTTATCAAAGTCTGCCATATCTGACTGACTCCCTCTTCTGAAAGACAGGGCTAAAGGGAGAGGTTTAGCATATATGGCTTTTATGATTTTGAGGTATGTTCCTTCTATGCCAAGTTTGTTGAGGGTTTCTATCATGAAAGGGTGCCAGATTATATTGAATGCTTTTTCTTCATCTGTTGGTATGATCATATGGTCTTTGTATTTGCTTGTTTATGTGATTAATCACATTTACTAATTTACATATGTTAAATCATCCTCATATCCCTGGGCTAGCGTGTACTTGGTCCTAGTGGACTTTTTGATGTACCGTTGAATTTGGTTTGCTAGTATTTTATTGAGAATTTTGCATCTGTGTTCATAAGGGATATTGGTCTGTAGTTTTCGTTTTTGACCCTTCTTGGCTGTGGGATAATGGTGATACTGGTTTAGAATTAGGAGGGAATCCTCTCTAACTCAATGTTATGGAATAACTTCTGTAGGATGGGTACCAGTTTTTCCTTTGTAGGTCTGGTTGAATATGTGAATCCACTTGGCCTGGGGATTTTCTTTTTGGGGAGATTTTTTATTATCACTTCAATCTTGCTGCTCATTATCAATCTGTTTAGGATTGTATTCTAATAAAACCATTTGTGGATACTAAAAAAAAAAAGGCTTTTTTCTGAGATCACACAAATCTCACATTTCTCTGAAGCTTAGGGGGAAGTCACCCTTCATCCTATGGGATGGCTACAAATTTGTGAGCAGAGAGGAGAAAGACAAGGGAACAAATACTAGTTGAGGTGTAAGATCAGGAGTGAAAATGTGGTAGAAATACAAAATAAAGGATGTAAGATGAAAGATTCCTAGGGATACTTTTGACAACTCTCTTTACACCAAAATAAAGAAACAAACAAAAAGGACCATGGCTCCTTCAATTCAGTTTGTTACTCCAGGAAGCATACTGATAAAAGAATCATGCATCATACTTTTCCCCAATGCATTTAAAACTTTTATTACTTTACATACTCCTTTTAATACTCTAGTGAGACAGTGTAGGAGTTTTTACAAAGAAAGTGGTTGACGTGATCAAGGTCACAAAACAAAATCAAATGAAAAATCATAACCCTAATTTTCCTGCATCCCGGTCATGACAGCTCACATCAAATACACTTTACATAGAACATGGTTAAAGTGGGTACCCAGAAACTGCAGTTCCTCCTGTTGTGGATGCAAAGCTTCTGGGAACTTTGAAAAAGACTGACTGCCAAGTGTAGTTAGATTTCATTGAACCTGGCTGAGAATGACTCTGAGAACTATGCAAATCACTGAATTGTCTGCCTTCTCTTATAACGCAAGGTTGATACAAAAAGACCAGCCTGGTATTTCTTTGTCTTACAGCCATCAGCAACCTCTGAGTTTCTGCATTCAAAGCACTCATTTCAATCCTGAAGAAATATAGAGGGAGAAATCTGTTAATACTACATGTTATATTTCACCTTTGTCCCATCAATGACTAATTCCCCATATATCATCCTTTGGACATTTTTGGGAGTGTCTATCTTGCCACCTCAGAGGAAAGAGAAAAATTTACTCTTGACTAAATACCCTGAAACAAAGATTTCTCCATTAAGCATTGGAACATAAGGTTAAGAATTCCACTGGGAGAACTGTTTGAAGTTAATATTAGTAGTAATGATTGTTAATATGTACTCCGTACTTTGTAGGCATATCTCATCACATCCTCACAAGAGATGAAGTCATTAATGATTTTATGGATTCAAACACCTGGGGTAAGAGTTTTCAGCTAGAATTTGTTTACATAGCTGGAGAACAGAGGCATACTTACGCCAGAGCCCATGCTTATAACATTTGATATAATTTCTTCAAATTAAAAAGGGAGATTCATAGTCACTTTTATTTATCTTGTGCCCTCTCTATATGTGAGTGTCCTAATTAGCATGTAGGTATAAATACCTTTATAACCTGAAATATGTTTTGTTCAATTTACTTTCATTAAGCACCTACAACATTGAAGGGATTACTATCCCTGCCACTATGGAGTTTATTTTCTAGCAGAAGGAGTTGGACAGAATAAACTTGGTATATGGTACATTAGAAGATAAGAGCCCTGCAGGAAAATAAAGAGAATACGGGATTTAGAAAGCTCAAAATGTTTGAATGAGTTTTCTATGCATCTGAAAGTTTGACTCAATATCCGAATTTATTATAAAGTATCATTTGGAGAACATAAGGGAAAATGAACTCATAGAAGGGTCCCAAGCACATTGAATCTATGTTCTGAATTAATCTATAAGAATTCTGAGATAAATATTCCAATTTAGCATTTGACAAAATTGAAGGCAAGTGGAAAATGAGCTGCCTTGCCTGTACTTGATCAATGGGTAAATCCTAGATATGTATACTTTGTCTCTGAGCATTCAGTAACCTGGATATTGCTTTCCTTTAAGCAAATAAAGCATGTGGAAATGGAATGCTAGATATTGCCAGAATTTTCTAAATATGTGGACAAAAAGTGTGAATAGAAATTGTGGTAGGCAGCTCCTAAGACGGCTTCCAAAGATCCTCACCATGTGTCAGTCATATCCTTGAATAATTCTCTCCTTAGGTGTGGGTAGGACCTGTGATTTTCTTCTAGCCTATGGGCAAAAATGAATGTCGCTTCCTTGATGAGTTTATATAAAAGTGTTACTTCTGTCTTGCTAACAAACTCACTCTATTGCCTTGCAAAATTTGATGAAGAAGGGTCCACATGGCTAGGAACTGAGGGTCTCCTCTAGCCAACAGCCATCTAGGCACTAAGATCCTCAGCCCAACAGCCCCACAGGAGCTCAATTCTGTCAACATCCACATGATCACTGAAGCAGATTTCTTCCTTCCAGTTGAACCTTTGGGTACGATCCCAGCCCTAGATGCAGCCTCGTAAGAGATCCTGAAGAAGATGACCAACTAAGCCGTGACTAGACTCCTGAGACTCACAATGAGATAATAAATGTGTGTTAAGTCCTAAGTTTGTGGTGACTTGTTATGTAGTAACATTCAGCTAACACAGAAAGGAAGAGAATCCTTACTTTATGAGAAGGAATTTAATGAGTTTGGAATGATGAGAAGAGAGACTGAGAACTAGCCATTTTCTTCCTCTAATGAGGGACACAACTAAGCAGGGGAAAGTAAGAAAGTGGAAAATATTTATGGAAAAAAATGTTTTTAAAGGTATAACAAGTAATACTTACTAATTGTCACTTTTTACTCAACATTGAGTACATACTTTTGCTTTAAGAACTCAACATATATTCTCAATCTCCGAATAGGAAAGAGTATCCTTTTTGGGTCTTTTTTTGCATATGTGCATATGCATTTATGCATATACCTTAGGTTATTTCTACACAGATTTGTCCCTATCCCAACGAAAACAGCATCCAACTTACCCAAGTGCCTCAAGTACACATGCTGGGTGTCCCAAGCCCTCAGCAAGTTTTCTAGCTCCTTCATTACCCAAATTATTTTCAGACAGATTGAGTGTTTTCAGTGTTTTGCTGCTCATGAGAACAAAGGTGAGAGACTGACAGCAGGCACTGGTTAACTCGCACTTTTCTAGCCTGTAATAAGGAAATGCACAGGTGAAATGGGATCCAACCCTTGGGGAGAAATGACAGGCAGATCAGATGGGCGTGAGCTAGAGGTTTACCTAATACCTCCCTCCACAAGTTCTGGACAAAAGAGTGGCATTTCAAACAACAGACCATTATGTCTGAGTTTTTATTTCCCAATGCAGATTCTTTCCTACGTATCTTTCCTTGCACTTTTCCTAACTCCAAATAGGGAGCTTTCTCCACCAGGTACCTACCCAAGAGCCTCCAGCTTGCAGTTTGGATGTTGCAAAGCATAGCACAGCGGCACCACTCCTGCATCCCCTATGTTGTTATGCCCAAGCTCAAGCCTCCTCAGGTACAGATTATGATAAATAAGAGCTGATGCAATATGTTGGCAGATATCGCTGGTAAGAAAACAGTTAGACAGCCTGGAAAAAACAAACGTAAGCTAGACACACGACCGCCTGTCTGTAAAGTTTTATATCATGAAGTGCTAAGTGTTCTTGGACCCATCTCATGATGTTCATGAAGAAGGGACTCATTAGAGACAAGAGCAGTGTGAACAGCTATAGAACATTTACGACATACCAGGCATCATTCAAAGATCTTAACGCATGTTAACTCGCACAATGGTCACGAGGCTTGCATCATCCTGATTTTACGAACAAAAAAACTGAAGCCAGAATGTTTTAGGCATTTTTATCCCAGGACGTAAATTACTGGAAGTCATATTCCTGTATCTTTGTGATACTGAACTTGGGTTCTGAAGAATTATTTTGAGCAACCTCTTCTAACATTCATTCTTGTACCTTCCAGTACTCATGTCAAAGACCAATGTTCCCGGGATGGTCATGATGGAGACTCAGACTTGTGGGGGGAGGGGGGGATATGGGCATTTATTGAAACCTTAAAATCTGTACCCCATAATTGCTTGAAAAAATAAAAAAAAAAAAAAAAAAAGACCAATGTTCCCGCGCCTTCCTCTCCACAGGCGCATCTGTGCCCGCGCCTTCCTCCCCACAGCGGCGAGGGGCCGCGCCTGTGCCCGCGCCTTCCTCCCCACAGCGGAGGGGCGCGCCTGTGCCGCGCTTCCTCCCCACAGCGGCGAGGGGCCGCGCCCGTGCCCGCGCCTTCCTCCCAGCGGCGAGGGGCCGCGCCCACGGGCCCGCGCCTTCTTCCCACCAGCGCGCACGTGCCCGCGCTTCCTCCCACAGCGGCGAGGGGCCGCGCCCGATGCCGCGCCTTTCCTCCCACAGCGGCGAGGGCCCTGCGCGCCTTCCTCCCCACAGGGTGAGGGCCGCGCCCGTGCCCGCGCCTTCCTCCCACAGCGGCGAGGGGCCGCCCCGTGCCCGCGTTCCTTCCTCCCACAGCGGCGAGGGGCCGCGCCCGTGCCGCGCCTTCCTCCCACAGCGGCGAGGGGCCGCGCCCGTGCCCGCGCCTTCCTCCCACAGCGGCGAGGCGCGCCGTGCCCGCCCTTCCGTCCCAGCGGCCGAGGGCCTGCGCCCGTGCCCCGCTCCTCCCCACAGCGGCGAGGGGCCGCGCCTGTGCCCTGCGCCCTCCTCTGTGCCCGCGCCTCCTCCCACATCGCCGAGGGCTGCATCCGTGCCGCGCCTTCCTCCTGTGCCCGCGCCTTCCTCCTGTGCCGCGCCCCCTCACAGCAGCGATGGGGCCGCGTCGCCATTGTGCCCGCGCCTTCCTGTGCCGGCTTCTCCCTCGTGCCCCGCGCCTTTTTTTTCCCTCCCCCCCACAGCGGCGAGGGGCCGCGTCTGTGCCCGCGCTCTCCTGTCCCGCGCCTCCTCCCACAGCGCCGAGGCCGCGTCCGTGCGCGCTTCTCCTGTGCCCCGCCTTCCTCCCCACATGGCGAGCCGCGTCCTGCCGCCTTTCCTCCTTTTGCCCGGCGCCTCCTCCCAGGCGGCGAGGGCCGCGTCCGTGCCCGCGCCTTCGCGGCGGCTATTTGTTCTCCTTGGAAGCCCCACTCTGGTGATCTGCGTGGCTCAGTTCCTGCCCTCCTCCCTCCAAGTCTTTGCTCAAACGTCCCCTTGTCAATGAGGTTACCTTGACCAACCTTGCTTAGAGAAGGGGAAATCACCATCAGCATCCTGATCTATTTTAAATTGAAAAAAAAAAAAAATCCATAGCACTTGTTGTTGTGTGATACAGGGGTTGACAAACTTTTTCTGTAATAAGCCAGATAATAAACACTTTAGGCTTTATGGGCCACACATCCTCAGTCACAACTACTCAACTTTGCCATCAGAACACAAAAATGTTCATAGACAGACACCCTATAAATGGCTGTGTTCCAATAAAATTTCATTTATAAAAACAAGCAGGTGGTCAGATTTGGCCCCTAGATGTTAGCTTGCTGACCTCTTTGCTTAATAGAAAATAAGACGTAAATAAGTGATGTAGTATCTCCCCCAGTGCCAATGCAAGATCCTTAAGACATGGATATTTGTTTTGTTCTCTGATGTGTCCCAGCCACTTAGAAGAGTGCCTGACATTTAGTACACATTTAGTAATAATGTGAATAATTAGATATGGAAGCAGATTCTAGAATAGTCCCAGGTTTATCCTTTATTTAATAGTTATAGGGTACTAACAATGCCAGTCACATCCATGTTTTCAAGCTTGGAGGGAAAAGAAGTAGGACAAACACAGGGTTTTAAATGTCCTACGGGGGCTTATAGAAGAGGTTCCTGCCAGGTTTGGGGAAGGCAACAGACAGAATGGACAGTCGTACTTAAGGAGATTCTCGCGTGATGACAGCAGCAGCATGTTTAGAGTCTACAGCAAGATTCAAACTACAGCCTGAGCACCAAATCCGACAACTCTGTGCTCTGTAAGCGAAGTTTTGTTGGGACACAGCCACACCCATTTGTTGACAGATCTGTTCATGGCTGCTCTTGAGCTATGGCGGAGTTGAAGAGTTGTGACAGGGACCTATGGCCCGTGAAGCCCAAGATATTTACCATCTAGCCCTTTGCAGAGAAAGCCTGCTGACTGCTGTTCTAAAGCATTGTGTCTGTTTTTCTCAGTCTCCTAGGTGCAAACTAAGGGCCAAGAAAACAAAAAGGCTTATTTCATTTTCTCAAAGGCAGCTTCCTACAAACCACCATGAGATCCTAGAAGGAAAGGATATCCCCCAAATTTCCTGTTTCCCCCCTGACCTGCCTATTCCCACATCAAAGTAAATGGAAACATGGGTTTATGCTATAACTACAAGGCAGAAAGAAATTTCAAATAAAAATTCAGATAAAGTAATGTTTAAATTCTTAGTCTATTAGCACATCAGTTCAGTAGCTCACAAGCTGGAGTGTTGCTACTTTATAAACGAGATAATTTTGTGATCTCAGGTTCTCATATTTCTGAGCCAAAGAAAGACATTTGAGGTAGATTTAAAAAAAAAATTTAAAAAAATAGACTTCACATTCAACAACTTCAAAGAATAAAAAAAAAAAGTCAGACAATAGCTCATCACCTGAGATAATATTAGCAAGTTGATTATTTGGTATCATTGATGAGAGACCCTCAGAAGGCTATAGAAGATTATTACTTATCTCTTCCTGAAAGCTTGGTCCAAGGCCACTGGATCACGACTAAGTCAGCTTATCAGAGAAGCACATCTTTGGCCCATAGTTGTTGCCTAGATACAGCAACCTCCCCACCATGTACACCAACACACCCCTTCCCAATAAGGCTATTTCCCAACAATAATGTCCCTATGATTGCCTAACCCAAAAGATGTTCCCTTCCCCACAAATACGTAAGCCAGGTCAGGGCTGAATTTTTAGACCCCGTCCCCTGTAGCCCTTCTACCCGGTAGGGCCAGCTGGACCTGGCCCAGGCACCTGTCTGAGTGGTGAAGGTCTCAGGGATTTCGTGGACCCTGATCCTTCTCAACTAGAGGGTTTTGCCAACAAATCTTACTGTGCTTCTATGCTACCTGTTGTCAGGAACATGTGTTCTCACACCCTTTATCACCCACGATACCATCACTAAAGTCTTGTTTCTGTTGCCAACTTCACCACTCAAACCCTCTCATGGCAGGGGATGCCATCATCAGTAGAACCATGGAGAGACTTACTCTATCTCCTGTAATTGACATTCTGCAAATGACAGGGCAACAGCCAAACTCTGTACTCCATTGTCATGTAAGTAATTCACACACAGGTCTAGATGTTTTAGAGTTCTGCTGAGGACAAGGAGGTTCGCAATGTGGAAAGCACAATGTTGAGTGAGACAGCAGTGGAATAACCTGTGTGGGACCACAAACACAGAAGGAGCGAGTTAGTGACACAGTGACCCCCTGGAAAAGGCTCAGATGCCGTCAGTCACCTGGAATCCGCAAGTGCCTCCATGCCTTCCGCTGCCACAGCCCAACACATTTCTACCTGTGACGTTCTTACTGACAAAAGGAGGTATGAACTACCCAAGATAGTACAGAGAGTAAAATACCAGAATGCATAATATGGAGCAGGGCATGAGAAAAACAAACTCCCATTAATTGGATCATCTTATACAAGTTACTTCTGTAACTTGGTTTTCTCATTGTTAAAATGTGGGGTTTTTTTGTTTGTTTGTTAAATTTAACCCTAAAATTCTTTTAAATTTAAAAATTGTGATTCTAAAAGAGCTACCTTGCTGCTTACAAGGGAATATGGGAACCTTTGAAAATTTTGGAAAAAGTAAAGGCAGGACACACATCTGAAGCCCTTGGGCTCTGGAACTGTAAACCCATGTGGTGGTGTCCAGTTTTTCATGTTCAGGTTTAATTTGCTGCCAATATTTGAAAGTTCACTCAATTCCAATCTGGATTTCCAGCTTATCTATTATAATAAGTTGGAAATGGACACACTAGATTGTGGTTTCCACTTCAGGAGAAGGTAAACTGGACCAGGGGTTGCAATGTCAGCTCCTGTTCTTACACAGTCAGCTGCCGTGGCCCAGGTGCTACATTCGGAATCTCCTTCCCACATATGCAACTCTCTCTCCAAAGCCTTAAGTTTGCTAATGTTGTGATCCCCATTCTCCAGTCTGGGAAATACAGTGTATGGACGGGGAGGGGGGAGGGGGGGCGTGGGGACACCTAAAACATTTTTGCCATCATGATGCTGCAAATTAGTTGTTAATCCAGAATATTAGGCCAGGTATGGGGGTGGCTCATGCCTATAATCCTAGCACTCTGGGAGGGAGGTCAGGGCAGGAGGATCACTTGAGGTCAGCAGTTCAAGATCAGCCTGAGCAAGAGTCAGACCCAGTCTCTACTAAAAAATTTAGAAAAAATTATCCAGGTGTGGTAGTGTGTACCTGTAGTCCCAGGTACTAGGGAGGCTGAGGCAGGAGGATTGCTTGAGCCCATGAGTTTGAGGTTATTGCGAGCTAGCTTGATGCCATAGCACTCTAGCCCAGGCAACAGAGTAAGACTCAAAAAAAAAAGAAAAAAAAATCCTAGAATATTAACCCAGACCTGGCCAACTCCGAATATTAATGCCATACTTTCAGCTACTGTGCCCTATTGTACTTCCCTTCTCCGTTGTTCTTTGACCACATGCCTAACATTCAAACCCAGGTCTGAACTCCTATACGGTGGGCTTGTCTAAGTCAACTTACGTCAGTGACTCAAGAACACAATCTGGGTGGAGCACAGCATCGCACAGTATTTCCATCCCATCGTCCCTCACGGGATTGTGGGATAAGGTCAACTTTTTCAGCTGCCTGCTGCTGATGAGGATCGAAGAGATTTCTGCACATGCACTGGCTTGCAAATGACAGTTCACAAAGCTGCAAGAGGAACCCAGAGATGAAATAAAGGCCTCCCAGTTTTCTAAGCCATGCCTCTTTTAAATAAAATTGGCCCCAACCAAGTGAGATGACATCTACTAAGAATAGGAAATAAAGGGATCCCTCTGCTTCTACTCTTACCCTACACCAGTTCTCAGAGTTCAAATTTGGGTGTAGGTGCAGATTCAGGACAGGTGGTCAGCAGGCAGTTCTTTATCCTTCTACATCCATCTCTACATGGTCCCCAGTGGCATGTTTCAGAACTGTCAGGTATCAGGCCACCTACCTGACCATATGAGGTGTGTGTACCACCTACATGCACAACCTGGTTAAGACCCTCAATTTTCCATCACATTTGCAATGACCTCTGATGGTTTTCCACATGATCTATTATGCTCTGGCTCTCATGATCTGGCTCTCAATGACCCTCTGACTTTATCTCCTAAACATCTACTCATTGCTCACTCTGTCCCATCTACCCTGATTTCCCTGCTCTCCCTCAAGTCTACCAGGCACATTCTTACTATGGTGGCTCTGCTTTGACCCTCATCTCTACCTGGTGATCTTTCCCCAGATAGTTGCATGGTTGGCTGTCTCCCTTCCTTCAGCTTGTCATTCAACATTCACATCTTTAACGAGGTCTTTGCTAACCATCATTCAATCAACTAATAAATATCATCTGCCATATTTTAGCCATTGTGCTAGGCTCCTGGGATACAGTAGAGAACTAGAAAAAAAATGATGGAATTCTGGCAGTGCAAAGAAAGGACCAAATATGTAATGCACCTAGCAGCTGATAAGTTCTATATAAGAAATAAATCAGAGTGAAGTGTAGAGAAAGGAAAGGAGGTATTCTACTTCTGTGGGGAGCAGTCAGTGAGAGATGTTCTAGCTAATAAGGTGGCATTGGAGCAGAAACCTGAGAAATAGAAGGGCAAGCCCCGAGTCTCTATGGGGAGAGAATTTCTGGCAGAAGAAAAGGGTCCATTGCAGAAGTAGGACTGGTGTTTCAAAGACCTGAGACAAGTCCAGTATGGCCACAGCGTGATGTGCAGAAGACAGGTCAGAGGGTTGACTAGGGTCACGCATGGTGAAATGGTGCATTTTATTTGGGATAAAAGAGGAAGCCATTGAGGATTTGAAGATTAGGGGACAGAAGAGTTGAAAGATCTCACTCGAATTAAGAACTAAATGGAAGTTGCTCTTCTATACTCTTTTCCATGTAATAGGTGACAGTAGGAACAGGGAGAACAGGTAGGAAGATGCTGCAATAGCTCAGGTTAGGCGGCTTCATCTACCATGCTTAGAAGCAGAGGGAGCAGGAAGTAGTTGGATCCATTCTAATGATAGACCTGACTAATTTGTCTAAGCCAAGCTACTTGAAAATTTGTATTTAAAATGCTTATTAAATATCAAAATAGATATGCTTAGAAGTTCATTGAGTCTGCAACCAGAAGAAATATATGTTCGTAAGTATGCATCTCAGAGTCTTCAGTGTATAGAGGCTACTTAATGTCACGGATGAGAACTCAGATTTGTTGAGAACCACTTAGAAACATCCCAGAGATTAGCATTCGGGAAGGTAAGAAATACATAAAGGTGACTGAGAAGGAACAAACTGAAGTTTGGGGAAGACCAAAGGCTAAATTAAAAATATTTCAAAATGGAAGGAGATAGGTGGGGTTAGGTGAGGGTCTGACCACAGAGTGGCAGCAGAGTTGGGATTGTGCCAGGAGAACGTGAAGGAAAGAAAGGACATTGAGTGAGAGGATATAAGGCAATGACTACAAAGGACCACATAATTCAAATTGTGCGAGAAGGAAATGGAAGGATGAGGCAGGAAAAAGACAATGGGAAGTTGCTGGTCGAATGGCTGAAGGACCCAGTAGGATTTAAGGGTGGGGGTGGGGGGGACAGAGTGGCTTGAGAAGACAGGAGGTGCTGTTGGAGCATGAGGTGCTCGACATCGCGAGCACCAGTGAAACACAGTGATTGGAGACAAGGTCTGGAGCTGCGCTGCCCAGCACTGGAGTCACTAGCAAACGTAGCTACTGAGCACTTAAAGTATGGTTAGCATGATGGAGGCACCGGATTCTAAATTTTAATTTGTTTAAATTTAAAATACAAGTTAATTCTCAATTTAGTTATTGGAAAACAGTATTTAAGAATGCCTTGGTTATGTGAATCAGTTTTTTTCAATTGTAAATTTTATGAAGTCAAAATGGAGGTCAGATATTTCCAGTGAAAATTTACCATCAGAATGGTGATGTTCTGTGAGTATAAAATACATACTGGGCTTTGAAGTCTTCATACAAAAATGAAATATAAAATCTGATCAATCATTTTTAATGTTATGTACTGATATCATTTTATACGTTGGGTTAAGGTTTTGTTTTATTTTTAAGAAGTTTCACCTGCTTCCTTTTACTTTCTAGATGTGGCCCCTAGAAAATATAAAACTACTCTTGTGGCTCACATAGCATTTCCATCTGACCATGTTTCTTTAGAGTTTGACCAGGGTGACTGGTCCCTGAGAATGAGCGGAAGAACTAGATCATTAGAGAAATTAAGTCCTGGGAGTGAGAAGACAAGTTATAGAAAAGATCAACGTAGAAACTGAGATCAATCAAAATGATTCAGGTGGTGGAAAAGCGAATATGTGACCAAAGCATTTGTACCCCCATAGTATTCTGAAATAAAATAAATAAATAGGTATATTTTTGGTATAGAGAAATACATCCTGTGCTAAAAATCTTCAAGACACAAATGGCATTAAGAACAAGTAACAGGTGGTGTTGTCTGAAGAGCACCTCTACACACCAGCACCTGGCCATCCCCTCATGCACACTGGATATCCAGCCAAGCAACGACTCACCTCAGGTGCTGTATGCTGCACGTTGGACCACTCAAAATCTCACGCAGAAGGGAAAACGTGTTTAGGGAAATGGGCATATGATTCATGTTCAGAAAGGTGAGGTTCCTGTTACGAACCATAGACCTGAACAGGTTGTCAAATTTAGTATCAACTGAGAAATGTGACAACCTGCAGAAGATAAAATGGTAGGAAATGTCCGGTGAAGGTTACGTACAGTATGAACATCTCTGCAATTGCTCCTGCCTGCTCTATTTCATTCTAGAACAGATTCTGAGTGTTGATCATTTCCTCACATGCTGTTCTCAGTCGTAGGTGCCTAGTCGGGTTGGGGGATTTCCACTCATCCCGGGGGCAGGCCAGGTTGTTGACTTTCAAATTACTCTCTGGGGTCTTTATGATGCGTTTACCACCTTGACCTTCCTCAAGGCAGGACCTGCGAGTGGGCCATTAAGAAAATGCACATACCGACATGCAAAATTAGCCATGCTTTTCTATAAGAGCAAAGACCATAATATGTTGATGGGCCATACGTCCACAGGCTCTAGCCCACATTAACAATTCACTATTTCATTGGGGAAAAAACAGTGGGCCCAGAGTCCCTGAGTGAACCACTACCACTGCTCTCCCCCAACTCAGAGTTTTTCATGATTCCCTTGAAAGTGGAAACAAAATATCAGGGCAATATAATGGTCATTGTCTCATTATGGGCCATCTGGAGAGAAGAGTTAGGAACCTACAACTCAAAATTAAACAAGAGAAATGTGAAAAGGGCTGGGGAAATTAGCTCTCAGAGAAATGACTCAGGATTGAGAATTCTATGACAAACTCAAATATAGAACACATGGAAATTCCTTTTAACTGAATTCCCAGCCTATCGGTAAGTTGGCAGGAGGCTGGACGTGTCTTGCTTGCTGCTGTCTGTATTTACAGAGTGCTTTGCCCAATAATCTCTTGGTCCCCATTTTACCCAAACAACTTCCCTCCTTGTTTTGCTCCCTATTGCAATGGAACTACTCAAAAAAGTCTTCATTCTCCTCTCAGCACTGTCTTTTCTAATCAGGCTTTGCTTGTGCTCCCTTCCAAATCCATTCTCGGTTACCAGTGCCCTCCACCTACTGATGTTACTGGTCAGGGCTCAGTCTTTACTCTCCTTGGTTGACTGCCACCCTCCAACACAGTCGTTCTATTTTTTGTGAATAAGGAAACTTCTCTCTGGCCTTAAGGATGCCATGCTCCTCACTTTTCCTCACAGTTTCATGACCAGGCAAACCCCTTTTCTGGTTTCTGCTTTTCTGACCAGACACTTCACCTTGGAGAACTCTGGGAACCAGTCCTTGAATTGTTTTCCTTTCTGAGCAACATTTCTACCCTTAGTGAACCCGTTAGTCCTTGGCAATATATATATATATATATATATATATATATAAAATGTAATGACATTCAAATTTTACCTTCAATTCAGGAACATTCCACACTATTATTTGGATGTTTAACAGACATCTCAACCTTATTTCAAACAACTTTAGACTGACATACCCCAAACTCTTGCTTCAGTTGTATATCCTCCCATCTCAGTGGCAACTCTAACCTGGCAGTTTTTCAAACCAAAGATACTGGGGGCAGTCAACTCTTCCCTTATATTCTACATTCAGTCAAGGAAGCATTCTTTGCTGACATACAGCCCAAAGCTGGTGCCTCGCCAACCCACATTGCTCACACCCACCCTCATCAGATGCACCATTCATTCTCACCTGGAGGACGCTGACAGCCTCCTCTGTCTGAGCTCCCCGAGTCCACCTTGGCTTTCGCATCTGCTAGTCTTAATGGAGTATGTAGAATGGGTCTCTTAAAATGCATATTCTGACATCTCTGCTCAAAAGCCCTCAAAACTGCTCACCTCACTCCAGAAAATCTAGTCCTGATGCTTTTTACGAGGTCTGTGATCTTGACATATGTTCCTATGAGCTGTTTTCCTAACACACCCTGCGCCCCGCTACTCTAACCACGGACGTCTATGAACTTCTCTGAACACTCCGAGTTTTAGGGTTCCATGGACCCCTCTCCCAGGGGATGACCAATAGTTGTTTATTGGCTCATGTCTTTACCTCGCTCAAGTCTGTTCAGATCTCACTCTAACCTACACCCCCAATCACCACTCTTCTTTAGGATAACTCTGGTTTTTACCATTTCTCACTGCTTCCAAGAACAGAGACTACTTTCTCAGTTCCCGTTTGCAGTTATATAAAGCTGTGTGTGACAAAATGAGCAGGTCAATGGGATGCAAGCAGAAGTGACACAAGGAAGAGTTCTACAAAGTCTCTGTCAAGAAAGCTCTGTGGCTCGGGGTGTGCCTTTCCCTCCCCTCCTCCCCCTGTGGCTTCCAGCCTTGAGGCAGCCATCATGGCTGGGGATTCAACAGTCACTGTGGCCCAAGGTCATCTTGATCATAGACATGATAGAGATGGCCCAGGGGAAGTGCAGAAAGGGCCTGGGCCCTGACGCACCTGACCCGAAAGTCTGTCTTCCATAGGCTTTCTACCGCCAGACCTTTCATGGGAGTAGAAAAATAAGCCTTATGTGTTTAAGCCTCTCAGAGGAGGAGGGCAGGATGTCTGTTATATATGGTTGAACATAATCCAAAGTGATGTAGATTCTTTTCACCTGGACAACTTGTGAGTCATCATCATCTGAATCAATTATTCTTTTTCTGAAAACAATACCAGGGACTTCAGGGGCTCCCCACTCCTACCCCAATCCCCCTCACTGCATTAGGTATATTCCCTAGTATTACTAGTTCTAGCTTGACTATTTGTCACATAGAATAATCATTTTATTTTGTATTGTCTTACCCCAGAGAAGGAAACAGGGATTACTGTAATTTGGGTGGGAACCGCTAAGGTAGAGATTGATAGAATACCTGAGTGTTTGAAGTTGACAGTTAGGATGTCTCAGGGCGTTAGACAGAAGTCTTTCTGAAATACCACCAAGGACACTGCTACAAATTTCCAGCTCACGGAGGTTCTCCTTAGTGTGAAGTAGACAGCAGATCTCTCTCCAATAGTCGAGGTTTGTCATTTGACTACATAGAGTAAACATGGGGTTCTATAGTAGAATCAATTCAACTCCAGCAATTTGAAAAACAATACACACATGTGTGTATCTGTGTATAGATATAGATATCTTTTGAGAGTACCTATTACCTGACTCAGACTTAACCCTTTGCACTCGGATGTTGAGTGTGGATAATGTCGAGTGGATAATGAGAAAAAAGCCAGCAAGTGCCAAGGGTTAATAACCAGACAGGAAGAAATAAAGTCGAGTCAAGTATCAGAAACAACACCCAGACCCACAAAGTTAACTGGTGAATCCACAGTCAGACAAGATACAACTGAGTGCAGTGCCTTTAAGTGTGGAAATGTTATATATCTAAAAACATTAGTATTGATGATAAATGTTGCATTTTATGTGCTATCATGAGAACCCCCAAAGTAATGTAAGGATTACTTCAGTTAATTCAAACAACGGATCTGAAGAAATGAAGTTAAACCATTAGTTCTTGACTAAGGGCAAGTTTGTCCCTCAGGGGACATCTGGCAATGTCTCAAGACATTTTTATTGTCATAACTGGATGCTACTGGCCAGGGTAGAGGCCAGGGATACTGCTGAACATCTTGTAATATACAAGATACAAGACAGCCCTCCACCACAAAGAATTATCTGGCCCCCAAAATGTCAGTAATGCTGGAATTTAACCTAGAAACCCTGAGTTTAAACTGAAGCAGAGAGATTTTTTAAAGTCACTGATCCCAGGAGAAACTACAATGGAAATCAAATTCTGCATGGCTTTTAGTTTCAGTCTTCTTACGGTCAACAAGCACTAGAATCATGGGCGGGTTTTAGGAACACAGGAAAGAAAGTAATTTTTTTTTAAAGACTCACCTAGGGGTTAGCTTCACAGCTGGATACCTGTTTTCCACGTTGTATTGAACACACAACTTAAGTGTCTTTAGAGGATGGCAGTGCTGCAGACAATATAATGAGACCATCAAATCTGTGTATGTGTGAATATGAACGGTAACTTCTGAGAAAAAGCTCATTATCGCTTTCACAAGCTCTTCCTTCTGATTCTCAAAGAGAGAGTAAAACAAAGGCATGTGGTGTTCCAGTAGGATCGGATTGTTCCCCAAATGTCTCATTAGCATTAGCAAGTTCTGCCCGAAATATGCTACCCTTGGTAGTCGACGGCCAATGGCATTCTCAAGAACTTCTCTCTTCTTCTCGTTAAGAAGACCAAAAATGAAAGTAATTACAGGACTAAAATCATTGTATAATTCCCTTTTCTCTTTACGTTTGTTCTCGGGGGCTGAGGGGATTGAACAATCGGTTGCTGCCATCAGACAGGCGACGGCCGCGCAAAACTCCTGGATGTTCAAGTGTAGGAACTTGTAATGGCTTGTAGGGCGACTGCTTTGCAAAAGAATCTTCGTGGTCTGCAACAGAAAGATGTCCTCCTGGGTTAAGCCCACATTTCTGAGGTCTATACTGCAAAAATTTAGGGTGTTTTGAAACAGCCCTTGAAAAGCCAGCAAACACACACTGTTTAGGAGAAATAGGCGATGGTGATTAGTGGTGATTCGAGCCTCAGACGTCAAGGCTCCGGCAAGAAAATGGGCATATATGTCTGTGGGTGTTTGGCAGGAGAGTCTGATATCTTCCCCCCTGTCCATCTGATGCTTCAGGACAGTGCACACGATCCAGCACAGGACAGGGACTTGGCATAGATCCACAAGAATCTCATTCTCAAGGACATGTGCGAAGGCTGCCTCGGCCTTCTGCTTGTCTTTAAAGAACAAGTCGAAATACTTCTCCTTGTCATCCTCAGAGAGCTCCAGGAACACACAGCGATCTTTCTCACCCATCAATGTTTTTATGGATGGGTCACAGTTGGGCCTTGATGAGATGAGGAGCCAGGAACCTGAGGCCATTTTTCTCCTCAGCAAACTGAGGAAGAGAATGGATATTGGTACAATCTGTCTGCTGTCACTACACAAAAGAGATTCATCCATGTGGAAGTCAAAATGTATGTTATCCAAGTCCTCAAAGATAAAAAGGACCTTCTCGGGATCGGAGAGGATGTCTCCAATGGGAGCCAGCCTATTGGGCCAGTCCTTAGCGATCAGCTGAATCAAGCTGCAGTTGGTCATCTCGTTTGCTTCATGAGAAGAGAGGTGAACCACGTATGAGATTGTGTCCCTCCACATCTCGCCTTCTGTCCACTCTAGTACTGCTGTTGTTATGACCATAGATTTCCCAGATGCTCCATCTCCCAGCAGGAACACATTAAGATTCCCTGTCGAAGAGGCTGTGAAATCAATTGATAATTCAAGTGTGTAGAAAACATCTTCCGTAACTTCGCAGTAGAATCTGTAATTGATTCCTGAAAAAGGGCCCTGTTCCGACAGGTCTTGGAATTTTTTCTTCATGAAATATTTGTTTACTTGTTCAGTATCTGAGAGAGTGAGTACAGGGTAGAAGAAATGGAGGATATGGAAAAAAATTGAGATGTAAAAACAGTTTCACCCCGTTTTCATATTTACAGTAAAAGTACCGTAGAAATAAAGAATTTTTACTTTGTACCCACCACAAAGATATACGTGTAAGGATATTTATCATGCTGCTTTAAAAGAAGAAAGTTGAGTAAACCAACTTATCCATACAGAATATGCCAATCTCTTACCATTACATGCTCATTTTTCCATCTTATTTACCTCAGCATCAAGGACTTTTTACTTTCTCCTTTTGTGGTTCCACAGCATTTTATATAGCCTTCAGTTATAACGCTTCATTTCACATCAAGTTGCCTCTTCGGTAACGGTTCTTGAGTTCAGGGGCTGTTTCCTGATATGTGTTTGGCTCAAAGCAGCTATTACATCTTTGACTATAATCATTAATATCACACCTATCTCTTCTCTTGTTTTTGCATACCACTAGTGAAATCCTAACCATTTAATGAGTTACTTAAGGTAAATGAAATGATACATGGGATAAAATTCTTTATTGTAGAGAGAGTTTCATTTCTCCTGAGGATATATAAGTTTGCATTTCCACTGTAACAAGAAAATATCACATATATGTATATATATGTCTATATAGCTATGATGCAAAAATGAATCTAAATAAATGAACTCTCAGAAAGGAATAAGGCCTTCCTTAGTGAGCAGATACCCAAAGATGTTTTCATCCCTGGGGTAAGGGCAGGCAGAAGAAGGAACCCAAGAATGCAGAAGAACTTTGACGGAATAAGTCAAAACCAGCTAGCTGTTAACAGCTGCACCAGGGCTGGGGTAGGGCACTGGGATGTGATAGACCCAGCTTTCCCTAGTGGAGATGGGCCTGATTCCCACCTCCAAGACTACGGTGGCTGCTTTGTCCTGATCTAGCACATCTGAACAGCCTAAGAAGTCCAGCAAAGAGAAGGACAAGTCCTTTCAGGGAGGAATAACACTTCTTTCTCACTGTTTTTATATATGATATTTGGCATACAATTAAAAAGTTGAGATTCAAAGCAGTAGAAAATCATGATTGCTAATCAAGAAGAAAAGAAGTCTTTAAGTTCTTTGCCCATTTTTTTATTGGGTTATTTGTTTTCTTGCTATTGAGTTTTTGAGTTCCTCATATGTTTTGGATATTAGCCCCTTATCAGACATATGGTTTGCATGTATTTTCTCCCAATCCATGGGTTCTCTCTTCACTCAATTGTTTCTTTTGCTGTGCAGAAGCTTTTTTATTTTAATACATACACACAAAAATGTAAGTATGCAAGGTGATGGATTTGTTAATTAGGTTGATTTAGTCATTCCACAATGTAAACATATCAAAACATCACACTGTACCCCTAAAATATATACAATTGTCAGTTAAAAATAAAAAATTAAGGAAAAAATTCAATGGAAGCATACTCACGTATGACCTAGCTTTTGGAATTAAGAGATAAGAATTTTATAACAAACATTATATATACACACACATATAATAAACGTTATATATGTAGAAGAAAATGTCTAAGGAAATTTGAGAAAACAGCTATGAAAGAGACTGCAGTGATGTCAACAAGACAGTGTAATACAAGATTTCTACTATATACCCTGTACAAAAGTATCGATTTTGCCAACTGCCTATGAATGGGAGTACCTTTGTGGGAGTCCAAAAGAGAAGTTCCAGCACACTATTGGAGCAAAAATTTCAAGAATAAATGCATTAGACAGGATAAGAAGGTAATTTTCACATCACCGAAGTCAAACTTTCCTCAAGGCAGCATAACTCAGGGCCAGGGCCCTTAGCCCACAGTTTCCTCCATGGGAGAGAGTGAAAATATAATGAGTGAGTATGTAACTCCCCCAGCCATGTGGGATTCTGCCCCAAATACTCTTTTTCTTGCCCCTCCAAGAGTACTGAGGTGATATGACACTGCTGAATAGTTGGAAGAAGCTGGAACACAGTGAAGAGATGCTACAAACCCTATTAGCTTCTCTTAGAGCTCCATCAGGAAGCCTATGAGCCACTTGTGACTCCTCCTCCCAACTTGTCCACAGGCATCCCAAACACTCAGAATCTCACCCCACCCCACACCTCAGGCCAGCTCCCCAAGGACACCACTGCAGGGTGTGAGCTTCTCACAAAGACAGCTGGTTCAACCCAATAGAATTGCTCAAAGGCACACAAACGTGAACATTTCTAGGGAAAATAGGCAGAACATTTTGAGCACTTAGCCAGGCTTTTGCAGGTTGGAGAAAGGGCACATAATCTATCCAAGAAGAAACAAGAAGTGTGAAATGGGAATATCTATAGAAAAGGTCTGAGAGAGCTTTAGCTCTCACCACCCCGAGCATGTAGCTTGACCCTGCAGCCATGTGACACATACACTACCATCCAAGCCCTCACCATCTCCAGCCCTAGTCCCTTACTACTGAGTAGCTGGGAGAGGCTGGACACAGTGAAGAGATGCTACAAACCCTATTAGCTTCTCTTAGGACTCCATCAGGAAGCCTATGAGCCACTTATGACTCCTTCCATCACTACTGAGGACTGCCTACAGCTCCCACTGCCAAGGACTAGGCAGTTGTGGATGTTGTGGACCCCAGCTGCCCAAGCCAATGAGGCACCATATTCCTTAGACCCAGAGACACTGCTTACCTCACACTTGATGCCAGATGTCACAGCACACTCTAGCAAACCTCCCTACTGCCACCCCCTGGACACAGGTTAAAGTCTTTCCCTACCAAAGCCAATCCATGAAGTCTGGTAGAGATGACTACTACTCCAAATGTGTAGACACTTGTGCAAGATTAGAGGGATCATAAAGGATCAGGAAAACACAGGAATACAATAAACTTCTAGTGCCCAACCCCCAAAGAAACAGATCCATGAATTGTCTGACAAAGAATTTAAAACAGTTATTTTCAGGATACTCGGCTGGAAGAAAACATAGGAAGAAAGCTCCAAGACATCAGTGGTGGCAATGAATTTTTGGATGTATTGTGAAACCAAAAGCACAGGCAACAAAAGCAAAGATAGACAAATAGGACTACATCAATCTAGAAAGTTTCTGGATAGCAAAGGAAACAGTCAACAAAATGAAAGGACAATCATGGAGGGGCAGAAAGTGTTTACAAACCATATATCTGAGAAGGAGTTAATATCCAAAATATATAACAAAGTCAATTAGCAAGCACCAAATAACTGGATTAAGATGTGGGCAAAGAAATTGAATAGACATTTTTTTTCAAAGATGACATACAAATGGCTAAAGGAATATGAAAAGGTGATCACTAATTAGGGAAATGCAAAAATAAAACTACAAGGCAATTATTGCCTTATACCTGTTATGATGGATATTATCTAAAAGACAAAAGATAAGTTTTGGTAAGGATATGGAGAAAAAGGAACACCCTCATACACTCTTGGTAGGAATATAAATTGTTACAGTCATTATGGAAAATAGTATGGAGGTTCAGCAAAATTAAAAATAGAACCATCACATCATTCAGTAATTCTACTTCTAGGTATCTGTCCATAGGAAATAAAATCACTATCTTGAAGGGAAATCTGTAGTCACCGTTTATTGCAACGTTATTCACAATAATGAAGATACAGAAACCACCTATGTGTCCATTGACAGGTTAATGAAGAAAATACATGTGAAATGAAAGATTATTTGGCCTTAATAAAGGAATTCATGACACTTGTGACAACATGGATGAACCCAGACAACATTATGCTAAGTGAAACAAGCCAGTTACAGAAATATTGTATGATCTCCTTTCTACATGGATTTTTTTAAATGGAGGTCTTTATTTCAAGATATGCCTACCTTGTGATTGAAAAGGAGATCAACCAATCGAAAAAAGTTGAATGCATAGAAACAGAATATAAAGGTGGTTATCAGGGACTGGGGATGGGAAAAAAAGGGGAGATATTAGCCAAAGAGTACACATTTTTAGTTATAAAATAAATAAGTTCTAGAGATCTAATGTACAGCATGGTACTATCCTTAATGTAGTACATATTTGAACTTTAAGAGTAGATTTTAAATCTTCTCATCACAAGAAAAATAAATATGTGAGGTGATGGATATGTTAGCTACATTGCGGCAATCATTTTACAATGTATGTGTATATCAAAAAATCAAGCTGTACACCTTAATTTTTATTTATCAATTACACCTAAATAAGTCTGGAAAAAAGTAGCTGTGGAGGAAAAAGGTGTAAGAATATAAGGAAAATTTATGTCCTCAAAATGGAGAATATAAACAAGAAGAAAATCTGAGAGAAAAAAAAATCCTTGGATTTTTAAATATGTATAAATAAAAAATATATAAATTTAATCCTAAGGACTAAATATATAAATGTGGGTGATAATTTTTTTGAAAAAAAGAGAATGATCAATATTTTGATCAATGGTCAATGATCAATATTGAGCTCAAGGTTATAGGATTTGGGGTGACTTTTTCTGTTTTTACTTTTTATATTCTTTGAATCTATGCTATATATTTTTCTTCTAAAATAAAAATAAATAAATCTTTATAAATATATCTTATTTATAGGGGAGATGATGTGAAGATATGAAAGTCAAAGCAATTTTCGGCATTTAAATGCGGTGGGTGAATAAGACATGCTAATCAATACTCTCTACTGCTCACTAGATGCTGCCTAGCAGACTTGGTGGTACTCTCTCATTCTGTGCCAGAGGTTTAAAATTGGCACCAAACCTAGGCCTGGTCCACAAGATGGTTTGGCTTCAATTACAAGCCGTTTTATTTGTTTGACTTACTTGTCAGCAATTAAATGTCAAAAGATACACCAGACACTCTAGATCTCTGGTTTCTCTCATCACATCAGAAGATCTGGTGGCCCTGGAGTCACATTACTATTATCAATATCTCCAACAGTTGCTAGTTGATGTCCAATAATTTATTTGGGGCTATGACAGGAGACAACCTGAAATTTTCTTTCCTGTGAAACCAGTTGTAAATGTCTGGAAGATAAGAGCTGAGGGGTAGCAGCAAACCCAAACACATGCTCTTTTCTAGAACTGGCAGCAACTTTGCATATTTTCATCACTTGCCTAGCTGGTCCCTGTTAGTCTTTCCAGATGGATGGAGAATATTAAAGGGATGAGAAAGATGAGGGGAAAAGCCTGCCATTTAGAGTCAGTTACATTTTCCTTAAAGTCTTAGCTCCGATACCTAGGAGACCTTGAACTAGATTCATGGTCTTGGTAAGTTCTCTTAACCATTCAGATATTCAGTTTTTCAGCTGAGATACAGAATTACGTCTCTTTCAGAGGTGTTTGGTAATACTGAGTAAGCCAGTGAACATGATCCACTTAGGAGAGTCTCTACTCTGTTAACTCACCATAATCTTTATACATAGGACTATAAATTTCTTTGGCCAGATCTTATAGTTTCAGGACAAACTCCATGCCAGGGTTCTGCTCTAGCATGAGAACTTGTCCCTGGCCACTTTCATAAAAGCCAGTTAGCATGAAGGCAGGAAACAGGGGTAGAGTCAGAAAGCCCTAAGACAGGACACAACCCACACACAGCACATCACTGGTCCCTTTTATGACGTCCAGGTCTGCAGACCAGCTCTTCGGGGATGGAGAATTCACTTATTAAAACAAAGCTTCCTGCAAACCGCCCCCGACCCCTACCCCTACCCGCCCTTCTGAGAATGGCCCCACTCACATTTTTGTCTCCTGTTGATCTTCGTGCAGAGATCGTGCTTTCCAAGCTTTAGGAATATATTGTATGCCATATTCCAGATGTGCTGTGACTCATAGGAGGTAATTAGTACTTTACTCAGCTCTTTCTGGGTTCTCGCTAGGTTAACTGATGGAATCTGTATCAGTCCAAACTGCTGCATAAATTGCTGTAGATGATTCTTAAAACTCTGAAATTCCTCATCACTAAGTTTCTCTAAATAGTACAGCAGGTCAAAGTCGGTAGGATCCCACTCTGCCATCCCTCTTCTCCAATGAGGTCAAGCTTCAGAGAGAAAGGACTTTGAGGAACAAGGAATGTGAGATCTAAAAAAACAAATGTGGAATCAGAATCAAACTACACAATAGTATGATTCTTTCAAAGTTGACATTGCAGAAAATTCCTGTGGTCTGCAAGCAGCTTTTGTGGATAACCCATTAGCAACAGGTCTGAACTCATTCTGGAACAATGACTTTGTCAATCCATCTTAGTGAACTTCTAGGTTGAGGTAAATGTGGAGCATCAGTTGTGTTAAAAGGCAACGTCTTTATTGTAAAGATTACCCCTGATTGGTGAATAGTATTTTGGTTTTGATTATTGAGCATAATATAAAAACTTTGGGGGAAGTGAATTTTTTGTAACTGTGTCCCCCTTGTGCAGATCAAAAATCTATGCTCATGGTCCCTTACAGGACGACGTGCTGTTGTGTTTGAGACTCCCTTTGCTGGAATAATCTGTACAGAACTCCCATTGAAGGACAACTGTTATCATCATAATGTGATTTGTAGTTTTGTATGCTTCTGAAAAAATTTAAGTGTTAGGATATACTCTATCATGTCCATTGCTATATAAGTTAGCTGAAGACAGCCCTTAGGTTACTTTTTCACATAGGCTGAAACTCGTTAGCTCATAAAGCCCACTGGGCCCATACTTAAGTTTTTGTACATCCGGTTGTTTTAAACACAGCCCAAATAAGCAGACCTTTGGCCATATAGAGCCTGCCTATTTTGCATATTCCACAAAACTGCTGCCAACATCTGCCAGCAACAAGTCCCAGGTCAGGAAGACCACAACCTGCTACTGCTTTTTGGAGCTCCCAGACCAGAGATCTTCCCCACTGTGCCTCTGTGGGATATTACCTACACACATAAGCCACCTCTCCAATACCCCTATACCCCAGGAGGCCCTCATCTTTCCCCCCTTCTGAGTAGGCACCCACTTGTTATAGCACCTGGACAAACCCCTGCTGTGAGGGGCATCCCCTACATGCAAACCTGTCCAAATGCCACCCAATAAAGCATATGTGCACATGTGCCACCTCTTGCTTATCTTCTCTCATTAATCAGCCCCTAAACCTCTGGAACTCCCTGTACCCAAGTTTCAACATCTCATCCTGACATCGTCACACAGGGGCATGTGGAATAGGCATTGCAGAAGGTATCTGAAGGAGAATTCATTCCAGATTCTTGACTCAACATAAGAAAATCTGAGTGCCTTGCCTGATACGAGGATGGAGAGGGAAGACCTGATGCGCATGAGTGGATGGGGATTGGACAACTTCTCTGGTTTTATGGAAAATGCTTTGATGCATAAAACAAAGGGTAAGCCTTCCATTTGAGGAGCAAATGAGTGCTGAAGGATGGCAGGTGTCTGCTCAAAGCTAAATTGCTCAATCTCCCACTATGAAATAAACCTAACTAGACATCCAACTGCATCTGTGTTATTGGGCATAAAGAAGCCACTGGTGAAGCTGATAAAATGCACCAAATGCCATACAGAGAATCACCAGTATCACAGAAACATTCGACACTGATGCCTGCCTGGCAGAAGGAGGTACATGAACTAGCAGAGCTCACAATCACGATTAGTCCCATGCTGAATGAAGCCTAGTGTTCTCTGGACTTTGTCCCATGTGCCTTTTCCCTTTGCTGATTTTGCTTTGTATCATTTCACTGTAATACAGTCATAGCTGTATAAGTGTATACTGAGTCCTGTGAGTCTTCCTACCCAATCACCAGACTTGGGGGTGGTCTTGGGGGCCCTCACAATACAGACTAACATGAAATAACCTCATGACCTGGATTATGTCCCTGTAAACTTCTGCATTTACCATCTTTCACCTTGCGGCAGGCAATGCCATCAACATTTTTATTGTTAGGCAAGATTTGCTTTAAGGTCTAATTACTCCCTTAAACTGAAATCTCCACCAGGGCAGGTCCATGTGTTTCTCTTTCTCCTCAATAGTCTCAGCCTCTATACCCATAATTGACCCTTAGAATATTTGCATCAGGACAAGAATTCTTTTCCAGCTCATATGGTTAATAAGGTTGCCTTAGTGATCTCAATGGGATTTCTCTCCTCCCATCCTGAAGTGTATTTCAGGTCATGGAGTCTTATATGTTGGAGGATACCAAAGAAGAATTTTAGAGCTAAAGTTTAGAATTTTACCAGACTGCAAAATTAGCAATCACTTAAAAGAAGTTCCATACCTCACAAGGAAGACACCTGTTGCAACAAAGTTAACATTCCACTGAGCAAAGGTAACAGATACATATGTGTGGTGTGTGCATGTAACTACTTGCAACCGCAACTAAGCATGCTATCATAGTGGCATTACAAATCCACAATGAAGTGGAATATACATTAAATGGCACTGAGAAAAATGGCTAACTGCTTAGATATAAGGAAAACACAAGATTCACATCACAGTCCACACAAAGTCCAGGTACATAGAAGAGTTGATTGTATATTTTTAAGTGAATATGATTGCAACTTAATAAAAACACAAGGAGAGGTGTGTGCATCTGACCTGCAAAAAAAGAAAAACATGAAAGCAATGGATAAAGACAAAATAGTAAAAGAAACAAGATTTTAAAGTTGTCCTTGGGGGCTGAGAGCCACAGATGGCGGTAGAATAACAAGGGCCAGAAGAGGGTCTCTGCAGAAAGACAGATTCTAGCAGAAATAGAGGAAAGAAGCAGAAGACAGAGCTACTACCCGCGGACAAGGGCCGGAAGGAGGGGTTACCTGGACCCGCGGGAGACTCCATGGATTGAGGCTGCAGGGAGTGGGAACTGGGAGGCTGGACCACCGGCAGCCGGAGCACTGCACAGGGTAGGGGTCTGTTGTTTCCCCTCCCTGCATTGGACTGCTGTGGGGCCCCAGCGGTTGGGAGAGACCTGCGCGACACCAGCCCAGAGACTGCGGCCGCCTGCCAACGGTGGCCTGTGCAGACGGTGGCACCACGGTCCCCAACCTTCCTCGGCGCACTCCGTGGTGCACAGACCCGAGCCGCGCCTCGGCAGGCGCATGATTGCCTCCTCCCCCCTGCCGGGCCCACCTACCCGCGTGTCTTGCCAGAGAGACATACAGACCACCAGCCGGGAGGCACCTCCAGGGAACGGGACCTTCCCGTTTGGGCCCGCCCGCTCCTCCAGGTGCTGCTGGGGCACCGTGTTCCCAGTGAAAACGTGCCGACTTCAGGAGGGCTGAGAGACATGCTAGACGCTCTGGGCTCCCTGTGGCGGTGAATTAGCGAACCGAAATCCTCTCCCTAGTTGGGAATACAGTTGAACTCTGGGACCCATTGGAGTCGGAGTCCTTGCAGAGATCCCCATGCATCCGAGGGCTTAGCATTGACCGGCACAGAAGGGGTTATACGGTGAACACCTACTGAGTCTGTGTGCTCCTAGGCATCGGCTCCTAGAGGGCACACCTCCCCCCAGGAGGGAGGCCGTGCTTCCCAACCCAGGTGGCGTCCTGTGCAGGGACTCCCGCAGCACACAGTCGGGGAGCCTGGTAGCTTTGGTTGGTCTGGCCTGCTGGCAGAGTCCCTAGGAGTATGGCTGCCGGAGTTTGGGGAGAAGTGGAAGAAAGCGGGAGGCCTGCTGCAGGACTGCAGTTGCTCAGACAGCCCCCCCCAACCCAGGCTTTTCTGGCTGGAGGCGGGACCATTCAGGGAAGTAAGGTCGTGTGATGTGCGGAGGTTCCCGCGGGCGCTCTTGGACATGCAAAGAACAAAGCTTTTACCTGCTAACGGCTGTGAAGGGCAGGCTTACCCAACCCGGAGATCCCGCCAGAACACTAGGCTGATAACAGACTCAAATTCAACCATAGCCTGGTTCTCACAAGCAAACGCCACCTACGAAGGGATCTTTACAGCCTTTCCACGGCCACCCACTGACGCAGGTATCAGAGAGTGCGGTCCAATTCACCCCCAGGCACCACTCCACGCCTGCAGAACAAAACAGGTGTGTGAGTACCACAAAACCTAAAGAAAAAACAAAACTGACACTATTGGGAAGAAATCAGCGAAGAACTCAGGAAATCATGAAGAACCAAACGAAAACACACCCGCCAACAGGGAGCACCAGCCTAAGGGAAGACACCGACCAAATCGGCAACAATTATGACAGAAGAGAAATTTCGTAGTATGTGGAACGTAAGAACACATCACCAGCTGCAACAACAATCAACAACCAGCGCCCAAGGAACCACAAAAAATTCCAGGATATGGAGAAAAAATGAGCAACATTGAGAAAGCTGTAACGAACTCCTGAAATGAAGAATCGATTCAAGGAATACAAAATACAGTGGAAAGTCTCAAGAAACGGGAATGAAGCAGAAGAAAGAATCTCATCGGAGCTTGAAGGATAATACCCATCCAATTAATAAAATCATGCTCTCAGGAATAGAGCAGCGGAACACGAGAAAGGAGCAAAGCCTGACAAAGAGCTGGTGGATTATTGTGGAAAAAAAAAGGCGGAAAACCTATGTGAAGGGTCATGGCGTTACAGGAAGGGAAGAAAGCACACTCAAGGGTTAGGACAAGCTTTGAAGATTAATAGCAGAATTCCCCAGGCCTTGGGCCTCAAAATCTGATATACAAGTTTCAAGAGCTCAGAGGACCCTTGGGAGTTCAACGCAAACAGGAGACGTCACGAATGCAGGTCATCAGACGACCAAAGTATCAACTGAAAGGGCCCTTTAAGCAGCTTGAAGACAAAGGAAGCAAGTAACGATACAAGGAAAGCCAATTCGAAATAACATCAGGATTCTCTAATGAGTTACAAGCAAGGAGAGACTGGGCCCCATTTCGTCACTCTTTTGCAACAAACAGTACCAGCCTTATAGAATATTATTCCCTGGCAACTAAGTTCGTTGATATGAGGAGGAAATAAACATTCTCAGACAAGCAAGGCTCAAAATTCACCAAGACAAGACCAGCGCCTACAAGGAATACTTTAAAACGCGTTACTGCAC